TTAATGTTAAAATGGAAACCCTTGCCCCGCCCCCGACCCCCACATCCAAACAAAATGATGCCAACGAGACGATGTATTGGCGTGCAGCTGCGTGACATTACTTACTCACTGTTAAAACCATTATTTATAGAAATATTCAGATAAAATAGGCTTTTGTCAAAACTGTAATGTTATGCTTATGCAAAAACTGCCGAGGGCAAGCCATTATGTTGGCTCTCCAATGAGTGCAAAGCCTGAGCGAAAGACGAATAACCAGCAGAGAAACAACAAAACACCCTGGCCTCGATGGAACGTCAACCGGTTTGCAGTCCACAAACCTCCTGGGCAAAGGATATTTCGCATAGAATTAAAAAAAAAAAATAACTGCCTCTTTATTCATCATTGATGTGATGATCAGTATTGCAAGAATAAAATTTCTTTCACATGAATGCCAAGAAAGAATTGCTGCGTCCTTGTAGCTTTCTGTGAATTGCCCTCACTTTGGATAAACAGTCCTTCTCTGTGGCTGCTCAAAAAAACTAAAAACAAAAAAAAACAAACAAAAAAAAAACCCTGTGTCACATTAGTAGTCTGAAGTGGCGCCAGGCTGCACGCAAGGCACTTATTCTGAGTGATAAAAACATAAAATACACATTCTGGCTGTGAACTGAGCGTTTTTTTTTCTATAATGAGAGTATTTTTGATTCATTAAAGAAATGGTAATTTTTATAAACACATTGTGCTGTCCAAATCTTGATGTTCAGTTATTGCAAAATAACAAAAAAAAGAAAACAAACAAACAAAAAAACACCCCCCAAAAATCTGGCATGGTTTACTGGTATCTCTAATTAAAATATTTGTTGACCGGTGGTTTTTAATTGAGAAATGACATTTAAAAAAAAAAAACCCTCTTCTCTGTATGATGCAGTCCAAGCTAAACTTTGACCTTTGAATTACAAAGTATATCCCAAATGATGCCTGTTTTTCATCACCTGCTAATGCATTTATGGGATATGTTCCAAAATGTGATTTGTGAGGACACCTGCCCGCTGTAGGTGAGTCCAAAGTGGATGAATGAGCCCTATTTAAAGCCATTCCCTCAAGGTGAGAGAATAGGACTCTTTTACCGTCGCGGTCGGTCACCATATGGGAGTCATAAAGTCTCGGGCACATGACTTTCCATTTCACGTTTCATTCACGCTCATATTTAATAGAGAAGAAGTGCAATGGCAGCAAAGTGACAGAAATGATAAACGGGTACATTACAGTTCAATCTATCGTAGAGTTAACAGCCTTCTTGCCCTTTGCACATCTTGCCCACTGTAGGTATGTAGGTAGCCAGCTAGCCAGCTAGCCGGATCGATGGATGCATCATCCACTCCGGACTGGTGAATTTGGCCCAAGTAGAGTCTGTGGCGTATTATAAAAAGTCAATTGTGTTTAAAAGCAATCAAAGAGGTTCCTTAAGCTGTTGGAGTACCAAGGCGCTTATTGATATATCGTGGTGACTTAAATTTTATCAGCTTCATAAGCTTCATAATGGCCCTCGGGAGAGAGCAGATAACCGCCAAAGCTGAAAAAGTCCTCATTTAGATAAGTACCGAATTGTACACTTTTATCGGTACTCGCCCCCTGCATTTCAGTTAAGATTCGTGCTTTGTACATTGTGATATGAGGGATATAGCAAAGATTTGAACTCGATTTGTGTTGCCTAATCCTGATTGCCTAATAACGACAGGCAACAAATGTTGACAAAATCAATTCATCAGAGATGCAAGTACATTTTTCTAGATGTTTTTTTTTTGTGCTGGTTTCAAATCTGCCCTTGTTTTTTTGTCTAGCACATGAGGTTTTCATAATAATAATTACAATAAAAATATTACTACGACGACGACTACTACGACTACTACTACTACTACTAATGTAGCAATAATATGATATCTAACAGGCGGCCTGGTGGACCAGTGGTTAGTGCGTTGACCTCACAGTGCAGAGGTACCGGGTTCAATTCTAGCTCCGGCCTCCCTGTGTGGAGTTTGCATGTTCTCCCCAGGCCTGCGTGGGTTTTCTCCGGGTACTCCGGTTTCCTCCCACATTCCAAAAACATGCATGGTAGGCTGATTGAACACTCTAAATCAGGGGTGCCCATTACGTTGATCACGATCGACCGGTAGATCACGGACTCGTCCCAAGTTGATTGCGAGGGGTGTAGAGGATAAAAACAACAAACAACCATTTGTGTGTCTTTGTGCATGTTAGTAATATATTTTTGGTGTTAATGTACACTAATCATTCTATCAGTGTCATTTTCACAAAAAGTATTAAAAAAATAAAATAAAGCAGGTAAATCTTTAACCTGCGTCACCGGACGTTGTTAGTGCTAAGCAGTCTGCAATTGCAGCTTGTGATCAGAGCTGTTGCGCTATATACTTTATCATTATCATTATTCTCATTTAGAGTGTGTTTTGTGTACAATTCACCGAGGGCACGGGCAAAGAATAGGAATCTAGGCCGAGGGAAGCACTTTAAAATGGCACGTGTGAGCTACGATCGTTAACAGGCTGCAAAAGTGCATCGCATGCTTCCGTGTCAGGCTGTTGCTCATCATGACGTGCGTATGTATGTGCGTGCACGGTAACGAGTCGATCGCGGGAGGTTGGTTGATCGAAAAGTCGATATTCGGTCCAAAACGTTTGGGCACCCCTGCTCTTAATTGTCCCTAGGTGTAGGTGTGAGCGTGGATGCTTGTTCGTCTCTATGTGCCCTGCGATTGGCTGGCAACCGGTTCAGGGTGTCCGCCACCTACTGCCTGAAGACGGACGGCTGGGATAGGCTCCAGCACCCCCCCCGCGACACTTGTGAGGATTAAGCGGATCAGAAAATGGATGGATTTATGACTTTTCTGCTTCTCTACCCTGCTTGGCAACATCAACAGATATGAAACCAAGGAAGCTTTGTCGGGAATTATTCATCGACATGTGGTGTGTCTGCGTTACGGACATCCCATTAATTCACGTACACATTTTTAAAAATGACAAAATGCACATAAATCTTTCACAGGATTGTGTAATTATTTTGGTGCTTATTGTGTTGCAGATTGTCTGCTTTGAAAAAAAAATCCTTTGGATTTACCTAATTTGAACATGTACATTGGTTGCACATGATTAAAATGTAGAGTCATTTTTACATGTTTTCCTCCAAAAAAAAACAAATGATATTATGTGAAAACATTTAAATTATGTGCTACTGAAAATCAAGGACTGTATTTTCACGACCGTAAGGCGAATTCTAAAGTCTTAAATTTTCTCCAAAATGGGCGGGGCACCTAATAATGCGGGGCATCTTATGTATGCACCGTGTTCCAAAATCTGTGAATGCTGTGTGACTTTGAGGTGCGCTGCGCTTGACTGACTGATGTTGTACTGACATACTGCTTATATAGAGGAAAGGAAAGGCGGACATGACTGAGGAAAGAGAAAGAGAACTCTACAGGCACACCCCCAGTGAGCGTATATAGTGTCGGAATGTACATTGTGCTAAACAGCATCAGTTTGGCTAAGGACACCTGAAAACGGCACCTACGAAAAGACACACTTACGAAGCTTAGTTTAAATTGCAAGCTATCAGTTACACGGAGGTCCATGGGGATCACGCAGCCACGAGAGAGTCTTCAAGATCAACTAATCCATGTTTCTTGGTGCTTTCATTTTATGAAACGGCACCATCTATCCATCAGGGCAAGGACAACCGCGGCGCAGCAACATCTGGCACTTTACAAGGAAAAGCTAGCCATCTTCTGCTCCTACTGCAGTAAATGGTAATGGTCTGCATTGCATTAAATAAAGACGCCTTCTTGGAGATTTTAATCCTCTATTTTGGCACTCTGTCGGCCTCACTTTGCTTCCATTACCGACTAATTTCAACCAATCCACGCATTCACAGTTTACCTGCATGGGCTACGCCAAGTGATGAGGGACACGCATACTTTGCATTATGAAATACAACAAAAAGATTGCCGACAGACAAATCCAGCCCAACCACATCACCAACATGGATGAGGTAACGGTCACTTTCGACATCCCAGTGAACAACACTGTAGAGAAGAAGGGGATCAGCACAGTAGCGATACGCACAAGGGTGGGGGGGGGGGGGGCATTAACGGTTGTGCTTGGTTGCCAGGGTAATGGACAGAAACTGCACAAGACGCTGCCTAAAGTAAAGTTTCCAGCCGGAGTCATCGTTAAAGCCAATCAAAAAGGCTGGATGGACGAGAAGGAAATGATCTGTGATGCCATGTCAGAGCCGCTGTGAAAAACCAAGTGCAGTACGCTAAATGAACATGGAGTTTGCCATTATTCCGGGAGGCTTGATGAAGGAAATCCAACCGCTGGACATCGGTGTAAACAGGACATTCAAAGTCAAGCTGCGAGCAGCATGAGAGTGATGGCGAACACAGCTTTACTAAGACTGGGAGGCAGTCCGGGCAAGTTACGCCACAATTTATGAATGGATGCCCAAACTAACGCGTCTGCTTGTGCTGTTGTTCAACCTTTCGAAAAAGCTGGCATAATTTCTGAGGAGCCGCACGGCAATGAGACCGACTCGAGGGAACACGACGCGAGAGAACCCGGCATGTTTGATGGAGAACTTGCCCAGCTATTCATTTCGGATACAGAAGATGAGGACTTTGATGGACTTGTGGTTGAGGATTGATCCAAAAATAACATGAGTACATTATTAAATGCTTCAATAAAATACAACAGAACTCAGTTTTACTCCTGCTGCCTTTTTAAAAACATACACTAGCGTGCAGGCATGCTACCATATTTTTTAAGCTAGCATGTGTTTTACCATGCCTGCGTCCAATAATACAATGCGCCTTGTGTATGTGATAAATACAGAAATAGCATCCGTAATTGACACTGCACCTTTTAATACGGTGTGCCGTATGGTTGTGAAAATACTTTTTTTTCAGTGTGACCTACAAATAGAAGGAGCAGCATGTCTTTCCATCAACTGAATTTTGGCGATACAATAATTGCTTCTGTTACTTATTAACTTACGTCCATAAGCTGATCTTTTGTGCAAAATTCAAAACAAATAGGGTTTCTACAGATAAAAATGTTTCTCACACGTTAATTATTTTGTTCCTATTATATTATTGCAAACTTGATACATGTTGTGTCTCGGGGACTTCACAAAACATTAGTGACAAAGTGCATCAAGACGACAATTAGGAACCTGACAAGGTAATGGAGACAGCTTTGTTTGGGGCCTCGTATGTGTCCCCCCCACAATAAATTTTATGTTGCCTCACAATGTTGCCAGTATTACCTCTGATCCACAGAGGAAGCTTGAGCTGTTTTATGGTATAATAATCTTTTATGTCTTAGTGGCCCCCTCTAGAGACTAATTGGCTGCAACTGTTTTCATAATTACTCGAATATTTGCGTTTTGTGTTTTTGTGAGAGAGGGGTGGAGAACCTGCTGAAGGGCGTACGAGCCAAGGTTCTGATCCTGCGGGGGAATGCTGGCCCATGGGCGCAGACCCGAAGCCAGCAGGATGTCAGTCAGTGCCTGGTAGACCTCCACAGCCTCCTCTGAGGTCGATGGGAATGTCACCATGTCATTTGGTATTGTCTGCTGTTAGCACAAAAACAAATTACAATGTAAACCAATATTTCGCTAAACGTTGAGCAGACATATTTTACTTACGTTCTTCCGGTAGTTAATCACGCGGTACTGCTGCCTCTTCTGTCCTTTGGCGCTCTGCAGCTCCAACACACACCAAGTTCCGCTGTCATTCTACATAGACGAGTACATTAAAGTACATTATTACCTCTGACAAGTAAGGCACAAAGACATGGTGCCTCACAGTCACCTTATGAAAGATGGAATACTTGGCAACATTGAAGTCATCTGGATATGCTGGAATATCTTCATCCTGTTCTGTATAAATCCTGGAGAAATCCACAGCAGAAGTGCCAAGATAAGTATTTTCATTTCAGTAATTCAGGAGCCCATTCTGAGGGAGCTTTAGCGTGATAAGCCCGGTAGTCTATAGCAGATGGCTGTGACGTTCAAGCTGAGAAAAGAGAGGAGCTCTCATATATAGAGGCTTTATGTAATGTAACAACCATGACTTTTTCTATTAATTTTGAAAACAAAAGAATATTACTCAGGGTACTGCACACAAAGGAAAAGACTTTCCTTTCTGGAATATATATGTTCTCTCCGTGTTTGTGTGATTTTAAACCCGCGTTCCAAAAGTATGCGTTTTAGGTTCACTGAAGAACCTCATTTCTGTTTGTAGCAAAGTAACCAGTTCCTCAATGCTTCACCTGTGACCGAAAATGTTCTCATGCCGCCGAACTAAGGAGCATCTCCACATTGTCGTAAATGGGCAATGAGGCATGAGCACCGAGCATCTACGAAAACTTGCTAAAATTGAAGCAACAGTGACATATCACTTGCGGATCAGTCTTTTTGCTTCTTGACTTATGTGCTCAAATTGTGCACAGAATATAAACATGAGCGTCTATCAGCTCGATGGTAAACGGAGCAGGACTTGAAATTTTATTTGTTGACTTCTGTTTTGTCATTCTTTGATTATTCATCAGTCCATTTCCTATAAAGCTTGTTCTCATTAGGGTCATGGGTGTTCTGGGGCCCAGCTGACTTTCGGCAAGATTTGGGGAATGTTCTGAAATGGTTGCCAGCCAAATCCCAAAATTTCTTGAATATGAGCATTTGAATATACCTATTTTTCTCAGTCTTTAATTTATTTTGGCCAATATTTAATCCTGAAATGACATAATTGCACCGGCAATTACTTTGCTGTGAAAGCCTTTCATGATCACAATTTTATTTTGTCAAATGCATTTGGCCTCATCAAGAGAATAAAAATCTTTTGATGGTTTTGCATAGAGGGAAAGTCAAAAACATAACTAAAAGAAGGTGGTTGCAAAAGTGTGCACGCCCTCTTTTTTTAAAAGGTATGTGTGGTGGAAACAACACTGCTCCTCTTCAAAAGAGCACCGCACCTACAGAAAAGCATGTTGGTGGCATCATTAGGCTTTATGGATGCTATTCTTCAGCTTGAACTGGAGCCTTAGAAAAGGTGAAAGGAATTATTAACTATTTGAAATAGCATTTAGTGTGAAGAAAAAAGTCTTCTGATAGAAGGCAAAAAGAAATAACAACAAAAACAGCTAGAAGAGCAAAAAATTATATTTGTGTTATTCAGAGGCACTTGGGTGATGGCAAGTGTGTTGAACACAGCCACATTCTGTCATGGTTTTGCTCTATCTATGTTTTATGTTTGTATCTTTGGGTACCTCGTTTTTCTTTAAATATTTTTTTGTAATGCAGCTTATCTAAGTCTGCATTTTTGGGATCCATTTTCCACCTGGCTGGTCTTCAGACCGTGTCAGAATAATCCAACTGTGGATCCCATTGAGTCAAATAAATTTACGAATCTTTTGGCCAGCCAGGGATGACTGGTGGGACACCAGGAGACCATGTAAATGGAACTCCATGGCGCGGTTGCCCTGCTGACCCGCCGGTTTGAGGAATTAATCTTGCATGTTGTGCAGTTGGGCACCCGAGGGATGTCCCTCCCGGATTCCCGAATTGCCATGGTAGGAATACCTCCTGCTCCCACAGTATGTCGTCACCAATGTTCCCTCTAATTGTTTTTGTGTCTGGGCAAACACACAAACACCCTGAGCGGTCCCATGGACCACTGTGAGCAACATGCGACATGCAAATTGTGGTCACGTAGTATCATATGCATCATATACATTCAAGTTACATGTTTTCATTAAAACAATAAAATTATGGCAATAGTTTCTATCAAAGGACTTCTTTATTAAGTGTGTTTGTCCACTTTCAGTGAAAAACTCAAAAGTTATGTAACCAAAAGTGTAGCATATTAACATAGCTGTTTTAACAATGTTTTGTATAAATTATGGCAAAACTTGGACTGCCATGAACTGCAACGTGACAGTGTCCTTACTGAGGCACCATCGGAGGTTAGCATAACCATTCTCTGTATGTCCACTTCAAGCTTGGAGTAAAACTGAGTTATTGCCTGCACGATATCCTGAGCAGCGCATGTTGTCAGCTGGACTATTCCACCAAACACAGTTTTATGATTGAAACTATTTTTCTCTCTGTATTTAATGTACAAGACGAGTATTTTGTGCACCGTTATGTCTGTGCTCTTATCTACTATAAGGGTGTGCCAAGGTGCATCTTTAACACTGCTCATCGTCTCTTTCGGGACGACAGTATTGCATTGATTGAATCCACAAATTCAAAAGCATAGTTTTTACTTCGCCAACTGTCTGGTATACTCACATACTTTGCCATGGGGTCGTGAATTTGTTGGACCGACAGCATTGATGCATTCATTTTGATGGCTTGTACAACATTGTCGATGAGGATTTTTGACTTGCTAGGGGTTGGATTTGTTTACGATTGACAGCTCGTTACTCTTCTCTCGGTCTTTGGCGCTCTCTGCCAATAACGTACCAATCCCCATTCCCATCTTGCATCGTTGTACAACTTTTACTGCATTCAAATAACTTTTGTGCTGAATGTGACGCTTGAGGTAGTCGAGTTTCCATTCGCTCCACACTTTTTTCGCTTGCAACTTTAGCTTCGCAACACGTTTTGCAGAGTAGACCTTTCTACAGTGAACAACGTCATGACGTAAATGCGTGAGCGAATCGCGTCAAATAACAACCTGGAACAGCCAATCACATGTTGCATAATACAGAATAATGTATGCATTTATTTTTATTTCTATACTGGTTGGATTTTTACCTTGTGCACAGCTCAGATAGTTTGTGCGCAGACACGCAGGGGGCAGTGCGCATTTGCTCACAAACCATGCTTAGAGGGAACAGTGGTCGTCACCCAAATTTACCCCATTTGTCACACTATGGTGGTAAACCCGGAATATGTGGCCAATTCATTCATCAGTGCTCATTAATATTTGATCAGCAACCTTCCACCTATGTTAAGGACGGTTCCAAGGTTGCATTTGTCATGACTCGCAATAAGCAACAAGAGTCAGTAACGCATGACCCGAGCTCCGGTTTTCCTTTTCCTGGATTTATTGCTCACTTACATTGAGTGTTCCACCATCCCATTCAGGGAAGAGAAACAGGAAGGAGATTTTTGTATTATATTTTGGACGGATAGCCAACTATTCTATTGCGTTTCGCATTTGAGCGGCAAAGAGCAGACTTCATGACTGTGCTCTACGTAGCATAATCCGGCGCGGACTTAGTTCTGCTTTGAAGGATGACCTGACCATCCGGGATTAATCTACCAACCTTGAGGAACTCATGGCTTTATCAATTCGGTTGGACAATCGTTTGAGGGAGAGACGCCAAGAACGGGTGTATTAGCAGTCTCGAGCACCTTCTGAGAACCTCCAAGCCTACCGAACAACCCTGGAAAAAAACGATCCAAGGAGCAGAGACCATGAGGTAAGTGAGATGCACTATGATGAACCCATGCAGGTAGGTGGGTGGCGAATTCGTCCCGAGGAATGGAGGCGGCGTTTCCACTCAGGTTCCTGCTTCTATTGTGGGCTACAGGGTGACCAGGTGGCTAATTGTCCTACAAAACCACCATGATCACCCTGTAAGTCCACACAGCTCAGACACTGAGAGTCAGACATCCAAGATCATTTGGTAATGTAAAGACTCAGGAAATTGATCCTGGACAGGTGTCCAGTTATTACACGAGCTCTAAGAAACTCGAAGTACAGTATCTAGAGGATTAAGAATTGTGGCTCTCATTGATTCCGGGGCAGATGAATGCTTTATTGATCCCTATATTGTTGAAGCCCTCGGCTGCCTGATGGAAGAATTTCTGGATGTAAATGGTCACACTGATCTCGATAGGCGGCTTTTAGCGGAAGTTGAATTTATGACTTGTCCTCTTCAGCTATGCATTTCAGGAAATCATGTAGAACTACGGAAATGTTTTCGTCATGCCGTCTTGCGCCAATCCAATAGTGTTCGGGTGACCTTGGTTCAAGATGCATCATCCAGATATTAATTGGAGTCTCCTGCCGATAGAGAATTGCAGTCAGTTTTGTCAAGCCAACTATCTAAGGTCCGGAGAGCCCGAAAATAAACCATTAATTGCTGCGTTTTTGTTTTCAGCACCAACTGGAGTGGAGGGCATGCCTCTTCAGCAGGTGCACCTGTGCCTTGCTATAGATCATGTCTGCCATGTATTTAGGACTGCCAAACTGCCTTGTCTCTTGTCGGATTATTGACCTTGCTCACTGTTTATGCTCAAGTGATATTTTCTAGACCTCTTGCTCACATTTATAGTCGCTCTTGTTTCGCTAGATACTTGTTTAGTAAGTATTTTGGTCCTCAAGTAATTTTGGACTACTTTAAGTTTCGGTTCTTTGTCGGCTCTTTTTACAAACATTTTCCCCCCACCATATACATTTTCCTTTCCAGATAGCACAAATAATTACTTTTTAAAAAAAAAAACTGATGTACCGGTAGTGTGATTTTTTTTTTTGTTTGTTTGTTTCCTTGTCTGGCAAACTCGCAACCACACTTGGCTTTAAATGTTGTGGAGCATAAACCACAGGGGCTGGAGTAGGCTCAGAAATCCGATTCTGATGTTCATTTGATAAAAAAGTAGAAATGGATTTTTTTCAAAGACAGGCAAACGTGATGCATCAGTGTTATAACGGAATTATTCACCTGTCAGACTCAATTCGCCAAAGCGGGGCAATGTGCATCCATATCAGATGTAGCGGCGTCACACATTATGATAATTGTAAAAGTGTCGTGACGATAGTACCAGCCTCTTTCACAATTGCTTTCAACACAAAGGGTCGTGGCTTCAAAGGTGTCTTAAAAGAATAGTGTGAAAAAGTATGAGGAGAACCACAGAGCGGCGCTATGAGTTCAAAGTTTGATTATGCAGTGTTAGTGGTCTCTCTACCTCATCCTATCCTGATGCCCCAACACCTTGCTGCTCCCAGGCACTATACACACCTGAACTTGCCCAGTACGCTTCCACTCTTATCTGGAGGGTAGGTTTTATCCTTGGATGGCTTGACAACAGCTCTGCTCTCTGCAAATACAAAAGCAGTCGCGCGCACACACACACACACACACACACACACACACACACACACACACACACACACACACGGTTTGACACATGAGTCAAAGGTGTCATCTGCTCTGTGACAGCTCGGACAAAGAAAGAATCCACATCCATAACAATGGACAGTACTTGTGGCTGTAACACTCACACACACACCCTAAGTGCAAAGTCACAATCTTTTAGCGGCTCTTGTTTGCTGATAGAAACCTTTGCATGACCTCGAGCCGTCTGTGTCGAGCTGAGTGAGCCTGACGCAGACGCTTTATCAACGGGCCCATACATCAGCCAAGAGAGAGCACAACTCTTTGATTGGTGTCTGCGCCACAAGCAAATGAAGGCCGTGATCGACAAGCGCCAAGAGTCGCTTGGCTGGAACTGGGTGCGTGTTGGCTCTGATTCAATCTGTCTGCACTGTGTAAACAGAGGAGAGTGCACATGCTGCATGGACACTTTTTCCATTAGTCCTCATGTCTGCACCTCATATTTATGGCGCTCTCTATCTGCAGCGCTCGTGGGCATATATCAAGGTGGGACTTGTGCAAGCAAAATCTAAATCTTTTACAGTCTCCCCCCGCTCCCTTCCCACCTACACACATATACTATATATTCCATCCTGTGGCTGCCTTTCCTCTATTTGGTAGGTTTCCTTATTTTGATAAACAAGGAAAATAAGCCTGTGCACAACATGAAGCTTTAGGCATGTCTAGTTACATATTGTAAAGTCACCCATACACTGAAAACTCGGAGGGCCGTTACAAATAAATGTTTACATAATCATTTCATTGCATTATTACTTGTACACAACAAATTGATGGATTACTGGTTTTGTAATCACTCAAGTCAACTGTTAGTTAAATTAGCTTTAAAGTTTCTTTTTTTCAAGACATTGGTCTCGTTTGGTGAAAAGAAAAACTCTTACCAAGCTGACAGTTTCGGCTGTCACTTCAGCCTTCGTTGAACCTGTCACTGCTTCCTTGTGACACATCTTAAAAAAACAGCTATTTGTTTGTTGTTTGTTCGATTATTGTTCAAGTGAGTGTAAACAGGGTAACAAAATGAATGCAAAATTTCAACGTTATTTATTACACAATGACGATTTGACATTTCGGAACAGACTTTAGCAAGGATCATGGAAGTTGACCCATGAATTGCTTTTGCGGGCCACATTAAATGATGTGACTGGCCGGATCTGGCCCCGGGCCTTAACTTAACAGGTGTCAACCTGTGGTATAGAGTGTATCGAGTGATATTTCAGTGTGGCTTCACGATTAAAACAAACATAGACATAATACATAAATAAAACCATGATAAATGTGTAATTCATATGGATACGGACAGATTGTATCTAGTTTATCACACCAGCTGAACCACCATCGAAGTGGATCAGTATGTGGAAAATACAAAGGTGTAACTTGACTCATGTTTTCCAAGTCTTAGTGGAAGCGTTTCCTTCTGTGCCGTGCACAGAGTAATGCATCCTTTCACATGTCTCAGTTTCACATGCTGAAATTATTTGGTTGCGCTATTTGTTGTAGTTAACATTTTCTAAACATACTTAGCAGCACAATCTTTGTTGCTTGTATCCGCGAATCCAAAACAATTCTAACTGACTGATTGCCTCTTTAGTCATGTAGGTCCTCTCCGTTTGCTGCATCAGTGTAACGAGTGCATGTCACCAAGCTACGATAGCCACAAGGGTATGGGGTGGGCGTGGGGGGTTGTTTGGGTGGTAGGAGATCATATATTTTTGCGGGGGGGGCAAATGATCAATGTAACCCCCACCAAAAATGTATATATCGATTAAATTGATGAATGACACAACCCAACTCCTAACAATCACTATAAACAGAGTGGAACTTGCTTGCTAAAGTGCCTTTGCATGTTAATCAGTAAGTGATGGCTGTGTTAAATTGCACAATTGATTTTGCCTCACTGTGTCAAAAGATTCAGGATGTCCAAAAGTATCAAGGCAGTGACACAGTTGTTTTGATTTTGTCCCATACACAACCAAAATCGACCACTAAAAGGCTCTCAAAAAGACCGTTTTCCTTTTCAAGAAAAAAAAAAAAGGGCAATATTTTGGGGTTATAACATCATCATACAGTGGCCTCTCGACCAAGTTATATTGCACATGTGGAAAACCTAGAGACCTTCAGTTTGAAGTATGACTGCATGTGTTCTGTTCCACATTTTTCACCATTTCACTTATAGAATTTAATTGAGAAGCTCCGCCTGTAGTCAAGGTCAATTACCAACAAATACAAATCAGCTGAGCAGCTATTGACCGACTTTTTGTCCCCCAACAATCAGGTTAAAAAAAAAAAACACCTACGTAAGGAAAATAATTTCTTTTGCGGTGAATTACGTGTTTAAGAGCAGAGCAGAGAATTTTTCAAAGGTACCGGTAATTACACCATCGCATTTTAGCATACTGACAAAAAAATAGTGGATCTGGAAAGCATTCATTAACAAGTTTGATTTCGGATTCATTAACAAGTTTGATTTGTGTATAACTCGATCCAGTGTGCTGCAACAAAAATTTTCACCTGATAAAAATATGAAATAAATATTAAATAAACGTTACCTTCATCTTTGAATGGACTTTGTTCAGTTGAGCAGAGAGGAAGAATGTGAGAAGACGCATCTAGGGAGGATATGTCCAGTTTGTAGTCATCCACAGGAAGAAGGATGCCTTTCTGCAGACAACTGTGCACATAATCCAGCCCCACCACCGGGGTCTGGAACTTGCAGATGCTCCGCAGTCTGTTTGGGCTGAGGTGTGACACATTGCTGACCACGACGAAGGAGCACTGCAAATAAGGCATATATGTGAGTCAGAATGCCTGTGTTTTTGCTTTACATATTGAAAATAATGTGTTACTCTGGATTAGTGAAAATGCGAGTAATTTCTCGGACTGATTGCCTTAGTTTTCTATTGATTAATATGTACATCAGGGGTGCCCAAACAGTCAATCGCAGTCGACCGGTAGTCCACGGATTGGTCCGAGGTCAACCCCGAGGGGTGTCGGGAGAAATTAAGAAAAAAATAGAGTGTGTAATGAACCCTTTCATTCACCAAGAATGATAACCTGTAACCGGATAACATGATAAGTTGTCCACTGTAGTAACCGCTGTCCCTGAAAGGGTTAATATGGTATATATTTTTTGAGTTTGTGTACACTGCACCCGAAGCATCCTATCAGTTTTGCTTTCACAAAAGATTACAACAAAATAAACTAAAATTAAAAAAAAAAGCTGCTCTATTTTTTATTTTCATTCAAAGTTTGTTTCATCTGCAATTTACTGATGACATTGGCAAAGAATGGGAAGCATTTTAAAACAGTACACGTGAGGTATGACAGTGATGTATCTGCACTGAATGCATAAAAGTGCGACCCTGCCTCCGTGTCAGGTTTCTGACTAAGGTAGGCAGTGGTTTCCTTTTCACAAACTTTTATGTCTACTTTATTTTTCTGTTTGATTCATGTTAGGGTCCATTATGGCTGTTGCTCACCATGGCGTGCGTGTGTGTGTGTGTGTGTGTGTGTGTGTGTGAGGAGGGTGGGGGGTATTCCCATCTTTGAGTCAAGTTATTTATTCGCCAAAATAGCGTGGCCGCAGTCACATACACACGTGTATACACATACATATACGTGTAAATATACATACATATACGTATATAAAGTAAATATTCTCAAGTGCGGACTCGTGTTTGCGCTCTCCAATTTGTCCTGATAACAGAAATTCCTCATTTGGGAAATGAGCATGGTACATGTCCTTTATGAACCTGCAAGTATGTTGACAAAATGCACGTGTAACAACACAATCAATAAAATACAAAAATATACTGTCCAAAAACTGTTTATATAACAAAAACTGCAATACAGGTGTATCCAAAAAAAATCACAACAGTAAAATACGTACAGTATTTTAATGATTATTTTTTTTCTGTCTTGGGAAAAAAATGTGTCTATTTTGGATTGTTTTGTTGGATGCATTCTTTGGTTTATAACAATGTTTGCCTGCGTGTCATACAGTTTTCTTGCTAGTTGCAAGTAACTGTCCCGTTGATCACCTATGTCTGGTAATTCTTGTGCACACTGATGGATTTGTTGCCATTTGCATTGCTTCCTCGCTGGATCGTGGCTTGTCATCAGGAGTTGAATCGA